ATATCGTACATTTAACTAAATAAACAGAGGTTTAGTATAAGCCGCAGACGGGTGGTTCTGTTCAGGTGGAACTGACTGTTATGTGTGGTTACGTTCCCATAGATTATAGATAGATTTCAGTTTAATTCACTTTCATTTTCTATTATACCCATGTATGCATGATTGCGTGTACGTGTATGTTTAGACTTGTGTGTTCGTGATTTAGTTAAATAAAACTTTTGTGCACATTAGTGATTCTGTGATCCCTGCTTGCAAATCAAAGTGTCTTTAAAGACGCGATTACAGCTACAAGTTTTTGAATAGCACTGTACCCCTGAAGATGGGCTGAAAATGGGCAGATGGGCTGAAGATGGGCTGAAAATGGGCAGATGGGCTGAAGATGGGCTGAAAATGGGCTGAAGATGGGCAGAAGATGGGCAGATGGGCTGAAGATGGGCTGAAGATGGGCTGAAAATGGGCAGAAGATGGGCTGAAAATGGGCTGAAGATGGGCAGATAGGCTGAAGATGGGCAGATGGGCTGAAAATGGGCAGATGGGCTGAAAATGGGCTAAAGATGGGCTGAAAATGGGCAGATGGGCAGAAGATGGGCTGAAAATGGGCAGAAGATGGCCTGAAAATGGGCAGAAGATGGCCTGAAAATGGCCTGAAGATGGGCTGAAAATGGGCTGATGGGCAGAAGATGGGCTGAAAATGGGCAGATGGGCAGAAGATGGGCTGAAAATGGGCAGATGGGCTGAAGATGGGCTGAAAATGGGCAGATGGGCTGAAGATGGGCAGAAGATGGGCTGAAGATGGGCTGAAGATGGGCTGAAGATGGGCTGAAGATGGGCTGAAGATGGGCTGAAGATGGGCTGAAGATGGGCAGAAGATGGGCAGAAGATGGGCTGAAGATGGGCAGAAGATGGGCAGATGGGCAGAAGATGGGCTGAAGATGGGCTGAAGATGGGCAGAAGATGGGCAGATGGGCAGAAGATGGGCTGAAGATGGGCAGATGGGCTGAAGATGGGCAGATGGGCAGAAGATGAGCAGATGGGCAGATGGGCTGAAGATGGGCTGAAGATGGGCAGATGGGCAGAAGATGAGCAGATGGGCAGATGGGCTGAAGATGGGCTGAAGATGGGCAGATGGGCTGAAGATGGGCAGATGGGCTGAAGATGGGCTGAAGATGGGCAGATGGGCTGAAGATGGGCAGATGGGCTGAAGATGGGCTACAGAACCAGGTGCCACTGCTGTCAGCTAAGAACAGGAAACTGAGCCTGCAATTCGTACGGGCTCATGAAAATTGAACAATAGAAAATTGGAAAAACGTTGATTGGTCTGATGAGTCTCAACTTCTGCTGCGACATTCAGATGGTAAGGTCAGAATTTGACGTAAACAACATTAAAGCATGGACCCATCCTGCCTTGTATCAACGGTTCAGGCTGGTGGTGTAATGGTGTGGGGGATATTTTCTTAGCAAAATGTGGGCCCCTTAGTACCAATTGAGCACTGTTTAAACGCCACAGCCTACATAAGTAATACCTTACTGACCATGTGTATTCCTTTATTATGACCAGTGTACCCGTCTTTTGATGGCTGCTTCTAGCACAATAACGTGCCATGTCACAAAGCTCAAATAATTTCAAACTGTTTTCTTGATCACGACAATGATGTCACACTTTACTCAAATGGCCTCAACAGTCACCAGATCTCAATCCAATAAAGCACCTTTCGGATGTGGTCGAATATGGTCGATATGGACCAAAATCCCTGAGGAATGTTTCCAGCACCTAGCTGAATCTATGCCACGAAGAACTAAGGCAAAAGGGGGTCCAACCCGGTACTAGCAAGGTGTACCTAATAAAGTGGCTGGTGAGTGTTTATATCAGTTCATTTCTTCCCTGGGAATCGAACCCATGCCTTTGGAGCTGCTCTACTGATTGAGCTACAGTAAAAGTGCAGTTACAGTTACCGTTGCTTAGCAAAAAATTTCACAGGCAAAATTCAGTCCGTTCAATAGGAATCCCTGCATTGTGGAGTTTCGTGTGAGGGCGAATTTTCAGTTCAAAGCAAATTCGCAGCACTGCCCAACAGACAACTACTTGGTTTGAACAGTGTTTCATACGTTGAAATATCACTAATGTGACCACACCTTAATTCTAAAAATGTTTGAACTATGAGTGCCATCATGTTACAGTCACAAACCATCATAGACTTTTGTATTTTTTCACTATAAAGAAAAAGAGCAGCGTGAACATTCTGCAAAACTTCTAATGTGTACCACAGAAAAAAGTGTGTTTGAAATTACATTAGGGTGAGTAAATGATGACAGAATTTTCTTTTTTTTTTTTAAACATTTCCTGTAATATCAGGCGACTTTTACATATCATTCATAGATCCGATTCTTATCCAGCCTCCTCCGCAGTTATCTCACTGGACGCGGAGAAGGCCTTTGATAGAATTGAATGGAGCTTTCTCTGGGCAGTCCTTGAATACGCAGGGGTTGGACAAGGATTTATTAAAACGGTTAAAACTCTTTACAATAGCTGTTCAGCTCGTGTTCTTACGGGATCCTTAATGTCTTTACCCTTTGCTCTTAGTCGGGGTACTCGTCAAGGCTGTCCATTATCGCCTTTACTTTTCACTTTATCAGTGGAGCCCTTGGCTCAAGCAATACGTCAGTCATCAACCATACATCCCATTATCTGTGTAGATACCTCGCACAAAATTTCTCTTTATGCTGACGATATCTTGCTCTATGTTTCCAATATTTCTGAGTCTGTTCCTGAATGTTTAAAACTTTTTAATTTATTTGGTACTCTCTCGGGTTACAAAATTAATTGGAATAAATCAGCATTAATGCCCCTTAAAGGTGCTCTAAGCGATGTCACGCGTTTTTCGGCCAAAACATTTTTTGTCACATACAGCAAACATCTCCTCACTATCCGCTGGCTCCCTGTCCCCTGAACACACTGTAAAGAAACGCGATCTCTGTAGACAGCCCAGGCTCCACACACAGCAACAAAAACAAACTGCGGCGACCCGCTCCCCGAAACATGACAAACAGTTCCAGCCAATCACCGACAAGAAGGACTTGGGGGCGGGGTTAGTGCGCGGATGAGGAGGAGGGAGGGTCTAGCTAGCCTCCGTTTTGTTTGACAATACTTTAAACGTCAACAAGAAGTGACGTCACCCGACATCACTTAGAGAACCTTTAATGACGCAGCGAATCAGGAATCCAGTAACTTACCTCCCTTGATCCCCGTAGTCAAACAGTTTACATATTTGGGCATCATTATATCTCCTTCAATTCATCTTATCTCTAAATCTAACTATCAAACTCTCCTGAATAAGATCAAAGAAGATTTAGATAGGTGGTCCCCCTTATGTTTAGCTCTTCATGGAAGAATATCTACTATTAAAATGAATGTGCTTCCAAGGGTAAACTTTTTGTCCTCTATGATACCGCTAGCACCACCTGTTTTATTTTTCAAAGAACTCAACGCGGCTATCTCTAGTTTCATCTGGATTAAGAAAAAACCCAGAATCCGACTTAAAACGATGCAGCGTAAGAAACTTGATGGAGGTCTTTCATTCCCTGATTTTAAGATTTATAATCTAGCCTTCCAAACAAGAACAATCCAAACCTGGGTTAACCCTGATTCCCGGGTTCCGTGGCGAGATTTAGAAGTGAATATCACCCATCCGGTTCGCCTACAGGATTTACCCTTTGTAAGTGTTTCTAAATCCTCTAAGAAAATGTATGGACCAATCATAGAGTACTCCCTCGAGGTATGGAAAAAGGTTGAGAAAAGTATGGGAGGCCCCTTCTTATACACTAAAGTTACACCTTTGTGGCACAACTCTTGTCTGTGTACTGGTAAAAAACCTTTTGTCTATAAAGCTTGGTCGGATGCTGGAATTTTTACCTTGAAGGACATTTTCTGTGAAAATGGCATCAAATCGTTTCAGGAATTAAGTTTAGAATTTTCTTTACCTGGATTTTTTTTTTTTTTTTTATATTTGAGACTGAGGTCAGCTCTGAAAGCATATGGCGTTCCTTGGACCACTGACATTTTACCTCATCCATTATGGAAATGGCTGGACCCTGATACCTCCTCCAAGGGCTTAGTTTCTAAGATCTATAATTCAATTCTTGTTCTGCAATACTCATATATTCCAGCTGTCCACTCCTGGGAAAGGGATGGTTTAGCTAAACCTGACTGGGATGTGGTATGGGCCAGATGTTTCACTGCATCTAAGAACCTGGCTCACCAGATGATTCATTATAAATGTATTAATAGGGCTTATATTACTCCTAGTGTATTATTTAGGATGAAGGCTAGATCTGATCCATACTGTCATTTATGCAACTCTGCTACAATAGGTTCCTATTTACACATGTTTTGGGAATGCCCAAAGGTGGTTCCTTTTTGGACCTATGTAAATACTGTTCTTTCAAAAATCCTTCTTTTGGACATACCTCAAGTCCCCTTGATTTTTCTACTTTTAGATGACTCCGCTCTTCAGCTGAATGCTCATCAAAAAAGGGCCTTACTGTCAGCTAGCACGGCTGCTAAAAAGACTATTTTAAAGCTATGGATAGAGCCATCCATACCAACATCCTTCATCTGGTTATCGTATTTCAGAGACATTGTATTGTTGGAAGGCACCACTGCCAAGGTCAATGGCGCAAATGACAATACTATTCAGAGCTGGACAAAAATTGCAAACATTCTGTTAGAAGAAACTAAGATTTTGACATCCTACATCTCCCTCTCTCTGTAATTCCTTATTTATATATATATTATTATTGTTATTACTATATATTTTTATAGTTTTCATGGCATCTGTTTGTATATAGTTCAGTGAGCTTTGATTTGTATCTGGTATGTTAACTTAAAATAAAAAATATTGATCACAAAAAAAAAAAACATTTCCTGTGCAGTATATAATAAATAAAAAGTAAATAAAATAAACATAAATAATGAGGAATCCAAACATTACAGCAAGACTCACTGTTTTCCTGTCGTTGCAGACTCTTCCTGCCCTTGGCTCTGGGAGTGAGGTCAGAGTTTCGGATGGCCTGGTTAATAAAGAACTGCTTCTTTTTGGCTGGAGAAACTCGTTTTGCAGGAGAGTTGGGTAGAGATGAGCAGCGCCGCTCATTTAGGCTGAAAGACAAACAGGAATCAGATTTGTCTTGACTCACTATTCTCACAAAGGGTTTACTCCATAGTCACAAACATGACGGTCACACAATTTACTCCTATATGAATTTACGGAATAAAATTTACTTTAAATTTTTCACAATGTTTTAGTGGATTTTAAGGTAGTTTTCCACATTGCACTACTGTAGTGATTAGTGAATCTACAGACCCTTCTATGGAGACCCACTGTTGTGCTTTTATTTATAGCTCTAGCCACAGGCCAGATGCTTTACCATGGAACTAGGTCACAGCTTATCTCTGCAAAAACATATGCAAACTTTAGTTGTCTATTTTACTATTATTATTTTATTTTTATTTGTTGTGAAGAAGCTGCCCAGAATAACTTACAGAGAACCCAGTAAATAGTATACATTTATACTAAATAACCTACAGACACGAAATCAGATCAGATGCGAAATACGGTTTTTATTCTAGCAGTTTATTCAGAAATGTCGGTTATTTCCAACTTAGTTTACTTTCCTTATAACCTTACTTTGTGTGTGTGTGTATATAATGACTTTTCATTTAGCTAAGGAGCTCAACATTAAATTATATGACATTAACAATCATTACATCGCTACCACAGTTTTAAACAAGTACATCACTTATTATTAGTTCATTCATGTAAAACATTAGATGTAACGAAGACTTGAGAGACGTATCTGACGTTTGTTTTTAATGAGCTTGGCCGGCTAACAAAAACAATTGACATGTATGTGGTGAGACAAATAGGAGCATTAGCTTACCGGCTACAAGCTAAAAATACACTTACATTACATCCTGTTCCTCATTGTTATTGCTATTTAACTCAACCATCTCAAAGTCTTCTCACAAAGAAACACGACAGAGACACAAACAAAGAATTTTATAAGGAGAAAAGGCCCAGAACAGCTGGCGTTAGCCGCGATGGCTAAAAGCTAGTGATAGATAGAAAGATTGGGCGGGGCATGGGAAACCCTGACAACATTTCCAGCCAATAAATATCCTCATAACGCTCCCTTCGACATGACAGAAGTATAATATAATATAATATAGGCTGACATTTATATGGCCGTATATAAATATAAAAATATATATTTTTATATTAAAAAAGTGTGTATCATAGATTATGTGATTGTCAACCATTTTTACTTTTTTAATAAATAGACGAAGTGCGAGTTAAGTACAAAAGAATAATCAATTTATACTAATATAGGTATTGAATGACGTTACAGTACTGTCAAGGTATTAGGCCTATATATAACTTTATATCAAGATCTGTCTGGAAATGATTTTATTAATTCTGACCATTTTATTTAAAACGAATATTTAGCAATAGTCTAAACAATCAATGAGTACTAAATATCTGTACAAAATTAAATCTATTATTATTCAGATTTAGATAAATAATATTTTCATGTTGTTCTTTTCTTTCAACAATTTTTGACTTTACAACAGTCAGTTGTAAAGTCTCCGCAGTGTAAAAAGTGAGATACCATGATGATGGTGGAGGAAACTGTGGAGTGACTGCAGTAAAAGACAGCCGTCGAGCCTCTCTCATCCCCATTTCCAGTAATCATCCATAACAGCAAGCCTAAAAATATCCTTCTCAAACATAGTTTCCCCTGACGTGTAGCTTTTAAGAAACAAGACAAGGTCACTCAGTGTAACAAAGCATTCTTCAATCTTCTACTGCCAGATTGGTATAAAAAGATCTTCACAAATCCATTTTTTCACCCTATAGTTTTTTTTATATATATAAAACAGTGGAAAGTTAGAGCACACCAAACTTCAGTAAATAGATTTATATATTTGCATATAAATATCCCAGCATTTTAACATTTTAGCTTTTTATCCAGCGTCATACACATAAGATTGCAAACATAACAATTTCATACATAATATCTCTGGTATGTACATACAATAAATACTACATAAAAAAGCTACATTTCAAGCATTATGACAATCTTTGCAGTAAAGAGATACAGTGATAATCCAGACCACAATATCAGAATTGTTTTAGGCTAAAGTGCATCACAGAAAAAAGATAAATAAATCTAAAATAGTTTTTTTTTTAAAATCTGCAAATAAATAACTCTATTGAGCACATGAAGGCAGTCTGATACCATACACTGAACATTTGACCTTTACATACATGTGGAAAAGAGGAGGTCTGATATAATGTAACATTCAGCAAAAATCATATCCATACTGGGTTGCACAAAGCAAACACTATACAGAGATGCAACTCACATCATGACAATAATATGCATAATTTATGCGTTAAAGAGGTCTGGGAAAGAGTTCCTGCCAATGATGCCATGCGTCATTTTCAAGTTTAAGAATAAGGACTAGACATTCAATCAGTAGGAAGTTATCAGCACAGTCAAATAGACTGAATAATTGATTGGTTTTAAAGTAACTAAATAAAAATGTTTGAAAATGATATGTGAAGAAGGCACCAAAGATCACCAGAGATCCGCATCATGACTGTTTGGTTCTGAATGTCTTTGTTTTTGTCACACTTTGCTCTCCTGTGTTTTGGTACTGACGATAAATAACGTGGATGGGTCTTTTCTCGCAGGAGTCTGGTCTTCAGGAGGAGTGGATCCATTAGCTGCCTCGCCAACAGGCTCCATCCGGATCTGCTGCTGCCGTCCTGAGACTGACGGACTGGCTGGTTTATTCTGTTTGGTCTTTAAACCAGTAGATGGAGGCTCAGGGCTTTGTTCTGAGCGAGCACCTTGATCTGACGGAGAGTGTGGTCCGGAAGACCGGCTGCATCTCTCCAGTTTGAGGTCTGTGGGCCGCTGAAGTCTCGCCACGGATCCACCGTTTACTGTGACTTCCCTGAGCTGATCATCATCTGTCTGGTCTTTAGCAAAGTTAACAAACACCTGCAGGAGGAAAACACTTGTGAGAAACAGTCCCTGTTCCAAACCCCAGTGAGATGCCTCCTGACACAAGGCTGTTCTAATATATCTTCGACTGGTCAGATCCCAAAGGTGTGGTCACATTAGCAAACCTTCACAGGTAAAAAGGGTCCACTGTCAATGGTGTAACGCATTGAAGTCACTTTCAAAACCAAGCAAGCTGTCTTTTGGTCAATGCGGCTTATCTATGTGAGCAACTTGAACCATTTGTGAAAAATGTGTGTGATATTCATTCATGCTCACGGGAAATTCAATTCCAGAGTGTGTGGATTCCAGCTTGTTGCTTTGGATAAAAGCGTCTTCAAAATGAATAAATGTAAATGTAATGCATTGATTACAAGCCTCCACTATCTTTTCCGCTTGGGGTTGTCAAGAAAATAAATCTTATCCCTTAAACTGAGGATATATTTTATGCCCAGTGTTTAACTTAATTTTCTCTATGCACATGCTCTCTCTGCGCTGCAAAGAAGCGTCGATGATCTGACAACACCGACAAAGTTTAGCAATGTTCGTTGTGAAATTCTGCTTGGATGGAAGTGTGTGTGTGTTCCTTCATGCGGCTGCGTGTGTGTGTGTGTGTGTGTGTGATCTTCTGCTACTAAATCTGCGTGTGAAACTTCTCTGTGACGAACTGTGAGAAATCCAAACATGATCAACCTCTGTGCTACAATACAAAGTAAAAATGTAACATAATTTGGAATTAATATTAGGAATTTCACTGTTTCACGTTTTAGCTTTTGAGAGAAGCTTCTTAAGGTTTTACCAGTTTTCATTAACCCTTGTGTTATGTTGCGGGTCAATTTGACCCGTTTCGATTTTCAAGTTGTTGGAAATACTGGTTAACCTTTGTTTTTTTTCTTGATATTTTGTGACTTTTTCTCATTTATCATGATGAACATGCATGCAAAGTTTCAACATGCTGATGTGTTTTAACATATACAAACAAAATTACTGTTACGTTTGTGATGTTCGCGGGTCAATTTGACCCTCATAGACAGCCATTCAAAAGCAACTGTACAGACACAAAATAAAAACATTTATTTTCTGTATGTCAGGGCACTTCAACTCCAGTTCTAATGTGCAAGTGAATCTAAAAGTGCTCTAACCCTAACCAAACACACTTGAAAAAGCTCAAATTACAGTGTTCAGAATTATTTGCAAATTACAGATGAAAATCTTTGTCAGACACAGATAGTAAAATAAGCTCTCATTTCAATATTCAAAATATCTAAAATACCTAGCTTTTAACCAAAACATTTATGTAGGATTTTCAAAGGCAGCTTCACAAAACCAAAAAATAAATAAAAAACATTTATTTGATGTATGTTTTTGTTATGTTTGGTTTCTCACTTTCCAGTGAGTGAATAATGAAACTAGGAAAATAGGTCTTAGGAAACTAGGGAAAGTTAACTTAGGAAAATAAAAAAAAATTCATTATACAGCAATTTTTTTTTGTTCAGTTACGATGTTCAAAGCATAAAATGTAAAAAAAAGAAAGAAAAAAAATATATGCAAAAAAAATCAGTATACTGTTTATTTTCCAATTTTGTCAAAACAAAACTGTTTTAAAAATGTTTAAAAACATTTTCATAAATCATATTTTCAGATATAATGTTTTTGTAATGTTTGACAAATGTTGATATTAAAAGTTTACAGTTTGTATCTAAATCTTTGTTGTTTTTCATAGTGTGATTTTTGAGGAATTGTATTGAATCCAATTAGGGTCAATTTGACCCGGTGTTCTGACGATTCATGCTACCCATCGAGATTTGCTACTTACTGGTTATGCGCATGTGCAGACTCAGTTTTTTTAACAAAAGGTAAATTTTCATGTGTTATAAAGTATTTTTTCTTTTAAAAATGATAACTACCATATGAATATTTGTACGGTCAGCCAGCTGAAGAAGAATAATTGAAAGTTTCAGTTACTAAGGAAAGGTGTGCTTTGACAAGTCAATATTTGATAATAATTTTTACTTTTCACACCGTTTAAAAAATAAAAACAGTAGTCTACAGTATACAGTAGCTACTCATAACTTAGAATTGTATTATAATTGTATTTCATATAATATATAATATTAATATAGATCGATTCGCACTACGGTAGCATTTTTCGACAAGGCAGCACAAATCGTCAGAACACCGGTCCATAAGGGGAGTACACAGAAATCAAACAGAACACAAGGGTTAAGTAAAGCAGTTGAAAATGACATAGCTGCCATCTATCTGTTAGTGTTTAGCCAGTTCAAAGCTGAAAATGGTTAAAAGAACAAAACAACGAAGAGATTCAAAGATTCTTTGCAGTCTGTCTGTACAAATTTGCATTTGTGGAGGAGTGGCCTGAATCTGGGGTTTGCCTCATTTGCAACGGAATTGCTTCTTATTAAAAAAAAGTGCATTACCAGAAGTCGTATTAATGGTAAGTATAGTTTAATTTAGTCTTATCAATACAATTGTAAATCAATACATTTTTTAAATAATTTTTGAGCAAAATAATCACGATTATCAGTTTAACTATTATTGTGCAGCCCTTGCTGATTTCATTAAAGTAGTGTTAGTTTAGCAACACGCTAATGCACATTTCTATTGAAATCAAGTCTCGATAGTAAAGTCTATTGAGGAGAGCTATTTGTCTGATGAGTTGCCTATGTTTATCGTATAAATCGGTCATGTATGAGGTTCCAGGACATGTAGTACGCTGTCTTAGAAGGCAGCAGCCTATGCAAGCAGTAGACAGCGAGGCAGCTCCCCGGGCTTAGGAGCGGAGTCTCGGCACTGTACTCTTACCTGATCCAGTGTCGTCTGTGACACTGAGTAGTCAGCTATCCCCAGCTCCTCGTTATTATTTGACAGAACCTCAAAGACGCGAGCGAGCGAACAGGTTTGAGATGGCAGCTGGTAATGGAGAACGTTCTGATGTCTCTCCTTCAGCTGGATCCCGGGGAAGGAGTTCTTGATATAGGAGTCCACTGGGCACGGTTCTGTAGACGGGCGGGACAAACGAAGGATTATTGTGTAGCCGTCTCCAAA